TATTTATAATGAATTTTAATAATTTTTTCGAATTTTTTTGAAGCTTTATTCTGACCGATTCACCCGATTCCCTATCCGGATCGTCGATTCGCCGATCTGGATCGGTTTTTTGGGTGCTTGATCCGGGTCACCGATCCGTTGTTTAAACCATTGTGTAAAACTGTGGAATTAAAAAAACTGCGGTCTGTATAAGGTCGTAACTTTATTTGTAGAAATAAGGTTGTGATATTTTATACTACTATCCAAATTATTTGGACGATATAAATTTGACAGATCTTTTAAGGTAGTATCAGTACTCCTTTCAAATAAAATCGATGGCAACTTTATATTTTCAAATAAGGTTGCAACTTTATATAAATATTTTCCATAGAAAAATTAGAGTGGTGTTTGTACTTTGTATAAGGTGAGAACTTTTAATCATGAAAATGAGGTGTCCTTTTAAATCTTGCTAAGAGATGCAGTTTCAGTGCCAAAAACCTTTACAATGGCCTAAAAATTTACTTATTCTTAATTATGAAATTTTAAACTTCAACAATTTTATGATTCTTAATTATGAAATTTTAAACTACAACAATTTTATGATCGATCATATCTACAAATATTTAAAACATTTGGAAATGGATGGTCCCGGCAATGTGTTATAAGGTACACTTTTTAGGACGTGATATCCATTTATTCTTGTATGCATACATTTTGAGCTTGAGATGATGAATTCTAGGGTCTTTCGATGTTGAAATAACCCCGTAAGGGATGATTTTTAAGGTGCACTTACTACCATACTAGATCACAACCCATATGCGGTCTTCAAAGAAAACTATAAAATATAAAATAAATGAGGAAGTTTATACAAGGTCTTATATTATTAAAGCAAGGTATACCTTAAAAACTCTAGAAAATGGTATTACATTGTAAAACCCTTCAATTGGTCATCTCGACCATAAGATTTATGAAGATGTATGAATATAAAGAAGAAAAGAACTTCAAGTCCTAGAAATATTATTTCTTGGTAATAGAAGGTGATTTGCTTAATAATTGATACAATAAGCAATCTAGATCATTGTGGCGTCTCATATCTTTATGGTTGCAGATTGTAGATATTGTGTCTCAATGATAGGTGAGTTTTAATCATGTTTATAGATATGCGAATGAAGTTGCGGTTGAAATGGCGAAGAGGGGTGCATCTTAGATTTGTTGATTGTTTATGTATTAAATGTAATTTCATATTCATTTAATAGTTAGTATTCTTATCAAAAAACAAAAAAAAGCCTAGAAATAATGCATCTTGTTACAAGTTATCTAGACTGTCTATTTTTAAAAAATTATAGATCTGCTTGATATGTACCATTTTAAATTTTAAATTTCATTACTACGAATAAAAATAGAATTTAGAGGTCCACCTTATTTTTATGTATACGAAGTTCACCTCATATAAACCTCATCCAATAAGTAGAGGAAATTTTGTACTATAAGATTGTGTACTGTGGG